TTTTATAAGACGATTCTCGAGTTTTATAAGACGATTCTCGAGTTTTATAAGACGATTCTCGAGTTTTATAAAACGATTCTCGAGTTTTATAAAACGATTCTCGAGTTTTATAAAACGATTCTCGAGTTTTATAAAACGATTCTCGAGTTTTATAAAACGATTCTCGAGTTTTATAAAACGATTCTCGAGTTTTATAAAATGATTCTCGAGCTTTATAAAACGATTCTCGAGTTTTATAAAACGATTCTCGAGTTTTATAAAACGATTCTTGAGTTTTATAAAACGATTCTCGAGTTTCATAAAACGATTCTCGAGTTTTATAAAACGATTCTCGAGTTTTATAAAACGATTCTGAGTTTTATAAAATCACTTTTGCGGAAAGTAATGATCTCCCTTTTACAGAAGCTATCGCAGACGTTGATTCCGAGAGTACGGTTTTTGACACCAACAAACGCGAGTTATGTTTAACCACGCAGAGTTCTCTTAACTCCTCTTAGCCGAACTTAAGACCTTTTTCTTGAACTCGAACCCATAAACCCATAAAATGGGGAAAGAAGTTTGGACACATGCGAGTAAAAGCCATCCTCATGTCAGAAAGAGCTTCAAGGAGGAACGAAGAAAGCGGGAACGACAGACCGCAGCCTTTGAAGTGCGTCACATAAGCGCCGCAATACCCATCACGAACGGTCTCGGGAGTTTTGTAGTCCTCTGCGGTGTTGATTTGTACATCGTATGGAGTTCCCAAAAGTTCATGGATGCCGTCGAGATGCTTTCCTTCAATGATTGTAGGAAGATAAGGGTTGAATCTATCGTTTGCCATCGGTGTATCGAGAACTGAGAACAAAGTAAGAGAAGAGAGAAATTCGAAGGAATCGCGAGAAAACTAATCCTCTCTATGAAGAAGATGACCTACTTAATGGAGACCTAAAAACAGTTCCCAAAGCAGATGATGTCGACAATTAACCTCAACCGCACGATGGAGAGAAGTGGCCGACAAGAGCGATACACGTGGCACCGCGCTCCCCGAGATATGCGAAGACAGACGATTGGATGAAGTCGTCCGCCTCTTCAGTTTCCCCAAACTAAAATGGTTTGAAGGCAAATGTTGGACCCAAAATTGAGCCCATGAAGTCGAGGTCAACCGAAGGAGTAAATAAACAGGCTCACAAGGAAGACAAGGAATAAAGCAAGAACGAGGCCAAGGCCAGTAGTTGTAATAAGGCCCAGGCCCATGTCATGATGTCGCATCGTGGTCGACAAACGGTACGAGGTCGAAGTGGGACCCCGAAGATCGCGGAAACATTTATAGGAGGAAGAGAACTATAAGAAGAAAGCTAAAGTAGAGTGTAAGGGAGACCGAAAAACCCTAAAACTATTCACTAATTGCATCGATCTCATTCTATAGATTTCTAGTTCGCCTTCTTTTACTTTTTGTTGTTATTTCCGATCTTGTTCATCACTTTTTAAATAAATTCCATATTCAATAAAAGTTCATTTTGTTAACCAAAGTCCAATTATATCGTTGTGTTTAGGAGCATCGTTGTCTAAATCTTTTGTCTTCCCCTGATTGAATTCTCGATCCCTACAAAATGCTGAGTGTAGATTTAAAATCTACAACCCTTACAAATAAGTCGTCATTGCCTCCCCTCATCGTCTACTTAGAATACTCTCATAATTCCTAATAATTAATGTCTATAAAATTGACACCAATCGGATCAACAACGGTTTTCTATCAAAAACATCTCTGGCTTGTATTCAAGTACAGTACATATATTTGAGTACAGACATTGCTACATTCTTTAACACTCTATAAGCTATGGTATACAAAATAATTAAAGCAATTGGACCTTGTAGTCTCATTGTTGGATCCAGTCGATGATATATTAGCCAATCAATTTAAAAATCTTAGGCTCTATCCTACTGAGTAAGTTCCCCTAACACAATACAGATTTCAGTCTGGTAGATTTCACATGTGATCTTCAAATTGACATTCTCCAGAGATCTCAATATGTATTTTAAATTCTTCCTTTTCCTTTTCTTCTTCTGCTTGTTCGTTTTCGGTATAAACAACAATAGAGTGTCCAGTAGAATGTGACCTCCAAAACCCAAAATTCGTCTCTTTCATTTGCCTTCCATAGTTTTCATTCTCGTCTGTTTGATCTAAATTAATACCAATTGTAGTAGTGGTAGGATGCTCCTCGTGAACGATGATTGTCACAGTGTCGTGAGACAAACGCTCTTCATGGCTTTCAGATGTAACTAAGTCGATTTCAGGAATAGCCGGCTGCTTTTCTTGTGATGTCTGATCCACATCAAGCTCACATCGGCACACAGGGCAAGTCTTGTGTGATTCAAACCAAAGATCAATGCAGATTGTGTGAAAGAAGTGATTACAGCTAGAAATGAGCCTCATTGTATCATCATCCATAAAGTCTATCAAACAAATGGAACATTGATCCATGCCACGCTCTTTCACCGAATAAGGAAACTCTGGAAATGATTGAATGATCTTAGAGCCAAGGCCAACATGCTCGGTGGGAATAGAGGGTTGGATTAGGTTACTGGGACGGTTTTGGTTTCTAAGGTTGTTCCAAATGATTAAGAGTTTTTTGAGAAAAGATCCACAGAAGAAGAAGGAGAAGAAACCGGTGAGAATGATAAGAAGACCACCGGTCAAGACAATGGTGACCGGCGTTGAAACGAGGTTGCGGACTGGTTTGAAATTGTTTGTTTCGCTGGTGGGCGTAGACATGTTGATGACTGTGGAGTGAAAACGGTCGTATTAGAAATATTGTGACTGGTTTCTAGATTGCTCAAGGAATAAGAAAAGGGTTTGTTCTTAGGTTGCGTGTGGGAAGGGTAACATCAGTTGGGAAGAGAGAAACAAGGAGAAATGTAAGGTATGTGTTGGAAACTTTTGAGCGAGTCTCCGTGAGAAAATGTAGTTTTATTTAGGGCCAATTAAATAAACTTTTAATTTGTAACTTTACAGAATTCAAGAAATTCGTAAACTAAAATCCCAACATAAGAAACTTTTGTTCTGTTATTTTTTCTCTTTTGCCTGTTTATTTATATAATTTCCAGACATTTTGAACATCGTTTTGAAATAGTCATGCAGTAATGATATTCTTACAATACTTTTAATTTGTTAGCTTAGTAAGTAGATATACTATGAAATTTAACAATTTTTAGCCATAGTATATGTTATTTTTAGAGTCGATTATATGTTTTTTAACGCTGATTTATTATGATATTACAATTATGAGAAATAGTCAATTATATATATGTCTGAATTCTATTATATAGTATTTTTAAATCCATATATGTTTTCGAGAATTGTAGAGATTATGAAACATTTTGGAGTTTATGTATGAGGAAACTCATAACTGTTTAAATCAGAAGCTAAGGTAGAGATTTAGAAGAAGTGTCGATCGACACTGATGCCTTGGTGTTAAGTCAAGACCGCCTCAAATCCAGAATATCCATCTATTTACCAAAATACCATAGGTCGACTTTATACCTAATATTTATAGTTTTGCCATTATGTTGAGTAGACATACACCTTATAATTTACCACCATTCTTAAAAATTTTTTTAGTTATTTTGGAGAGAATATCAAGACTTTTTCAGAGATTTGTAATGAAACTCCATTATTTTCCTACTTTATTTTTATGCAATTCATTCAGTTACTTTTAATATTTTGTTTAATTATGTATGAGTGTGGGAACCGAAATTCACCTACTGTCGATTTCCGTAAAATAAGAAACTTAGGAAAACCCTAATTTTTCAGAGGAACCGGATCTCTGCGAAAGCCAACGACAAGTAACCAAATTAATGAGGAAAATATGAAAAACGTAATAAAACGAATTTATAGAAAAGTAGATCTTATTTCGATTTCGCGTAAGAGCGTTGCGAACATTATAAGGGCTTACAAAGGCTTTGGCCGCAGGGGCCATCAGCGAGTTACAAACATAAAACCCTAAACCTAGTCGAGTCGCAGCTCGATAACGGAAGACGGAAAAAGATAAGAAGAAAGGTTTGATTGATTTTGGACTGAACCTTATGACAGGCTGCCTACGTACCCCTTTCGAAGATCAAGTCGAACGTAGTTCAGTTGATAGAGCTGGACCAGAGATCGAACTGCCTGGGTGAGTTCGTCTAGTAATTGAGCGCCAGTCATAGAAACCGAACTTGTCGAGAAAAAAGCCTAAGTTTCTAAGTGCGGAAAATTCTAATTCTAGAAAAAGTTGTAAAAGTCTCAGATGAGAGCTCTGGATTTCGTCCCGTGCTTCTGCCCTATGCCTCTTGCATATATACTCCCTTCCTAGGCGGTTTGGTCTTTCCATTTCCCCCAGATTCGGGTTTATCGAGAATCTTCCTTTTATGTTTATCCTTCTTTTTTTCCCGCGGAAATCTTCTATTTGTCTTCTAACTTGACATTTATCTTTAAACTTGACATTAATCTTCAAACTTGACATTTATCTTCAAACTTGACATTTATCTTCCTTCTACGGGTAAATCGTCAAAACGTTATCGTATCTTCGGGTTAGATTTCGTTAAGATCGTGAGATGGCCTTTTTATCGCGTTTTAGGACCTTCCAAGCCAATTTGCGATAAATCCGTTTTACGACTTTATACAAGATCGTTTCCTAATCCGATGCCGTTGTTAGTAAATTCCCCGAGTTAATCGTAAAGTTTAGCTATGTTTGTTTTTCGGCTAATCGTTGCCGTTTTTACGATTCACTCGACGATTTTTACTAAAAACGCGTTTTTTACGATTTTTACTAAAAAGGCGTTTTTTTACGATTTTTATGAAAAATCTTGAATAAATAGTATAGTTTAGACAATCTTCGGTGTTTCGTTTAACCTCTGCCGTTTTATATGATTTCCTCGTGTTCTTTTCGAGAAAACAAAGATTTACGGTTTTTATCGTAAAACTCGTACGGTAAGATGGATTGAGACGAAACGGGAGACATTTCGACTGTGACGGATTTTGACACCAACACGGCTTTTAGCCATTGATTCCGTCGTGACCGATTTTGACACCAACACTGAGTAGTCAACTTGTTAGATTTTTTTAATGTTTTGTCGAAAAGTAGAGTTAATATGGTGATTTATTAGGATCCTTCAGTAGAATTGATTTAACTGGTTGTGTATTAGAGTAGCTAACTAGAACCCTGGTCCTAGAATAATAGACAAATGTGAGAGTGTTTCAACTCTTGATAATAATTCTGTTGATATAGGTTGTTAGGCATGGGAGAGCTGGTTTAGTTAACCTAGTGAACATATCGATTAGGATGTTAATGCCTGTGTAAGGAATTATTGATTGACACTCTATAGTATCGATTAACACTTATTTCTTTTTCGCATGCGATAGCTGGAACATATGACTTTGTCATTTGATTAGACTCACAGCGAGAGCTGGATATCTTACTATTGTATGCGAGTTCTAAGATATTTTATTCATATACCATGGATTTTACCCAATTTCAGCCATGGTATATAAGTGTTTTAAGATATATTTACGATATAGAGTCTTTTTAGAGTATTTACAGGTTCAGGTACATTGTGGAGAAATGTAGTGATTTTGGTGTCTTTTGGAGCCTTTTGAGTGCAAAAGCATAAAAACATTAGATTTTTAGCTATGGATGGAGACCTTCCCATTGTTCGATTGAGACAATATTCTTACATACTATAGAGCTTTGATTTAGATTTCCATTTCCACCAGTCTGAGGTCAATCATCATCCTGTAACAGAAGTTATGCATGTTTTACTGAAGAGTGGTCAGTCTGCCTCGCGAGAGGAGACTGTCGAGAAGATAAAGGAATATCGATCGATCCAGCACCCTTTGTATCGATTGATATTGATCCCAGAACGCGTCCAAGTTTATTTCAAGACTGACTTAAACCCCGAAGAACCCCAAATTACCAGAATGCCCCTGGACAACCAGAATCCCTATTTATGTGTTTTCTAAGCCATTGTTGGCGGCTAATCTTTCTTTGATTCATTGTTCTAAGTTTAAAGAGAGAAGGGAGGAAATCCATTAGAGTCCTTCTGGAACTCCTTTGGTTTCTTTATTGCTTTTATATGTTATATATATATATATTCTTTTTATGATTTATGTGATAAACTTCATGTCTGAATAGATCCACCTGTTAGGTTTAGAGTACAACTAGGTTTAAGGGATTAACCCCAACTATAGGATTGGTAGGTGTGATATTTATTAATAGGATGATGTTAATGCTTGTTTTCTAGAATTTGCTACCTCGACACTTGATCTAAGGATTTGCTAGAGATATTGTACTAAATCTATTCTATTGAGATAAGATTGTTAGAGTATAGCGAGAACTTATCTTGGTAACTGTGTCATGTAATGTTCTGAAGTTTTTCTTGAAGACCCTCAATGATGTTGCTGTTCCATTGAACTTTATCATAGACATGGTCTGTTATCTCTCCTAACAGCTGATTTCCTTATGGGACGGATTTGGATCGATCGCCTCAAAAGTTGTACTGTCGATCGCTCCTGGAGAATCATCATCAGTCGACGGGTATTTGTTGATGTCTATCGATTGTGTAAAGTTAGGTCGACAGGCAAGTCGTTTCTGAATTGTTCTTACTTCCTTCCTCAACCAATCTGTTCCTGCATGTAGTCTGGCAACGTTCGATAAGCCTTTTTATAAAACTCGAGAAGTCATTTTATAAAACTTAAGAACTCATTTTATAAAACTCGAGAAGCCGTTTTATAAAACTCGAGAAGTCATTTTATAAAACTCGAGAAGCCGTTTTATAAAACTTGAGAAGTCGTTTTATAAAACTCGAGAAGTCATTTTATAAAAGTCAAGAAGTCATTTTATAAAACGTTTTATAAAACTCGAGAAATCGTTTTATAAAAGAGGTTTCCGAACAAAAAGAATCCGCGGAAAAACTCGAAAATCGTTATCTCGGAAGAACAAAACAAACGTCGATTACACGATCGTCCGAGTTAAGCACAAAACAACGAAAAACCACAACCGCCGTAAACCGTGAGTTAGTCACGTCACGACTAGCTCGCCGTATGGCGAGCTAGCCCCGTCCCAAGTAGCTCCCCGTAAGGCAAACTAGACGCTTCCCTGGTAGCTCGCGGTATGGCGAGCTGAACCGGTCCGGATCGGCTCGTCGTACGTTGAGCCGACCATCCCGAGCCTTGATCTTCCACGTACCTGAGTCAAGGCTTACGTCATTTGACACGATCATGTCCCGAACCAAGAGTCGAAATGTCTCCCGTTTTGTCTCGATCCGTCCTACCGTTCGAGTTTTACGATAAAAACCGTAAAACTTTGTTTTCTCGAAAAGAACTCCAGGAAATCATATAAAACGGCAACGGTTAAACGAAACACCGAACATTGCCTAAATTATACGATTTATTCGAGATTTTTCGTAAAAATCGTAAAAACGCGTTTTTATTAAAAAACGTCGAGTGAATCAGAAAAACGAACGTAGCTAAACTTTATGATTAACTCGATGAATTTATTAAAAACGGAATCGGATCAGGAAACGATCTCGTATAAAGTCGCAAAACAGATCTATCGCAAAACGGCTCGGAAGGTCCTAAAATCTGATAAAAGCCCATCTCGCGATCTTAACGAAATCTAACCCGAAGATACGATAACGTTTTGGAAATTTACCCGCAGAAGGAAGATAAAGTCAAGTATGAAGATAAATGTCAAGTTTGAAGATAAATAAAAGATTTCTCCGGGAAAAAAGGAAAGATAA